CTGGGACCCCTTAGGGGATGTCCTCACTGCTGCGGGGGTGGGAGAGGCTCCCTCCACTACCGCTGGGCTCACCAGCCATGAGCCCAGCTTCTCCATTGAGCGTCTGCCCCCTGGTGGTCAGTGCACATCATAGCGACCAGTCATTCCACCATTTGGTCGATTAGGGTTTTATTATATAGGATTGGAAGAAAAAAACATACACACACAAAGATGAATTACAAAGCCAGAGAGAAATATCAGTGTAAGGTAATAGTAGAAGAGCTGCCACAAGGCCTGACATGATTAGTTGCTACATATATTATAATATACAAACAATAACTTCTGAGAGCAAGGGACAAAGGCCTGGTGTTTTCAGGGCAGGCTTATCAAAGGACAGAGGATTTAGGATGGATCTTAGATGATGCTTAAAGTTGGCCCAAAGCACGGAACTGGCATGACTCCCTGATATCCACTTTCCCTCTGGCCTCCCTTTCTAGGGGCCCCTTTTTCAGAAAGGATTCCCTCTCTCCATTGTTTGCATGATTAAGCTCTGTCTCCAAGGCTGGAGGGGAAAGAGGACAGACCCTGATCCTCAGAGCCATTAGTCAAAGGGAAGCTCATTTTTGGTGATAGACAGAAGGTCACAGTGGGAAAACTGTGGATTGTTTTAGTCCCCAAACCTGGCAGTGTACACCTGCCTTTCTTCTCAGAGACTCCATTTTTTAGATCTGTGATCTCTATGGGGAATTGTTCCTATAGCAGCACATGGAACAACACAGAGGATTTTAATGTAATGCTTCTAGCATGTATTGTCAATAAATAAAATTTACTTCCCCTCTTATGCTTTTCCATTGCCTCTGCCATCTGCATCTAACTTATTTATTAAATCTTCCATTAAGAGTAATACTTAGTAAATATCATTAGGCCTTCACTGTGGCAATTATGCAGCAAATCTCATTCTCGAAGATCCCAGTACAGCACCTGGCACAAGAAAGGTGCTCAATAAGTATGTGACCTTCTATCTGGCAGTGGCTGAAACTCATCATGCTCTCTTGTATTTCTGTGCAATTGCCCAAGTTTTTACTTCAATCTGGAACAACCATCCCCCAACCTCTACCCACCAGCACAGCTAACTAGCTAACTCCTGTTCATCTTAGGCATCTACACCTCCAGGAAGACTATTCTGCCCCATATTCTTACCCACTCTGCTTTAGGTATGTCATCTACTGTTCCTACAGAAAACATGGAACAGCACAAGATTTCAGAAAATGGTTATGGGATGGATGGATGAATGGATGATGGACGTTGCATGGGTGGATGGATGGTTCACTTAAGGTATCCCATCAGAAACCAACCTGCCCAAAACTCCTTTCACACTTTGGGCCCAGTATAAAGTGCCTCTTGTGAGGAATCAATTTCTTAAATAAGAGATGGACGCTAAGCTTTCTATGAATAGGTGGGAATTAGTGATGAAGGCTCAATCTTGTAGCATAAGAGGCCTGATGTGGAAAATTCCTGCTCAGCATGAGCACTTTTAATACTCACAGGAAACAGCAGGTAAGCAACATAATTAGAAAGAGACGCAGAAACACAAGGAACACATGCCATTCCCCCTGGACGTTTTCAGGGTTAAACTTTAGACAAGTTCCTTGGGGACAAGATCCTTTATCAACTGTCAGACTCAGTAAGGACAAGATCCCAAACTTAGCATGCTTGGAAGCAAAATGTTTCCATCCCTGGAGACTGAGATCCCTAACATAAATCATTTTCATCCCGCCAAAGCTTTCAGCTAGTAATGGGACCAGGAGACCCCGGCTCTCAGCTTCCTGATCTCGCTCCCCCTCCACAAAACTCTCACCACACCTTCCCTCACCTCATCATGCAATGTTTTCTACGTGTTTCTGAGATCTCAGAAAAATAAACATTGTTTATTTAACTGAAAACATCATAAAATTTTTCTTTTTTAAAAAAACGCATACAACCAAAATAAAACAAAGCAATTGATACAACCATTAAAGCCATGAAGAACATATTATCTAAATTTAACTTTAAAATGTATACCATCAGTATATCTTAGAGAAAAGTATTAAATAATTACTCGTCTCTTCTTCTATATTTTCCTCCATATATTCTTTCCTTCTTGATATGCATGCAACAAACATTTACTGATGTTATGTGCCCGGCAGTCTGTAAAACTGAATAGGGCACAAATGTTTCCCACAGTCTATGGGAGATAGTGGCATGTAATACACAGTTACTGTGTGGGGTAGGAAGTGTGATGAGAGAGATATGTCCAGAGTGCAGGGAGGGGCACAGAGAAGAAACATCCAAGTCAGTCTGATGGATCACAAAAGGCTTCTCAGAGGAAACAACATCTGGTGGATGACGGTAATTTTGAGGCTAAGGAAGGGTTTGCCAGACCAAAAGAACAAAAACAAAAACAAAAAACCCAGAAAAGACACGAGTTCCACCCAGTGAAAAGGGGGACACAAAGGCAGAGCAATGAATCAGCATGTGCAGAACCAAAGTTCACTCAGTATGACTAGAGAAATGGGACATTTGAAGCTAGAGACTCACAAGAGTAAGATCATAAAATATCTTGTGTGCAAAGCTGAATTCGTCCTTTTCCTTAAAAGCTCTGGGAGTTACTGAAGGGTTGTAAGCAAGCAATGCTATAATCTGATTTGCATTTAGAAAAATGATTCCGTCACGGGGTAGATGATGCATAGTAGGGGAATGAAACTGGAGGCAGAGAGACTACCTAAAAATGTGCTGGAATAAACTTAGTGAGGGATGATGAAGGTCTGATGGACCCAGGCAATGGCCATAGGAGAGGTGGTTGAATGTCTTTCAATTTTGAATGTAACCATGTATTTTTGGATCAAACTTCCCAGCAAATAACAACTTGTGGTCACCAGCATGAGCTGTGGTTCCCTTTGCATTCCTTTTACATTTGCTTTCCATAAGTAGCTGGTTTGAGGAAAATATATCTTAGCAATCGCTGTGGTCAGAAGCCCTAGGTTCCTGGCCAGTCCCAATCACTTACAAGCTTATTCCTTCAGGAGAGTCACTTATGCTCTCTGAGACTCCGTTTCCTCACTTATAAAACAAGATAATAAAACTTACCTCCAACCCTTCCATGATCATTAAATGCGGAGAGCGGCTGCAGTGTTTGGACAGGTTCAAGCCTCGGACTAATGAGAGAGCACAGTCCTCTCATGGCCACGTGCAAGTCCCAGCTTGGAGGGCAGAGCCCTCCCAGCACAATTATAGCCAACAGCTATAGTTGTAAGCTTGAACCTATGGTCCGAACACGTGGCCCCACGTGCCTGGGTGATGTGGGCTTGATAGAGTTCAGGTGCATGTAATTGAGTGGCATTGAAACTCACGAGAACGCTGTAAACATCTTTACCACACCCTTACTTTGCCTTGTGGAATCTGGCTAGAAAATAAAGACACTGCTTGTAGTCCGTGGTGCTGTCGCTAGCTCTCCATCAGAGAGGCTCAATATCAGAGAGGACAGCATCCCACCCAGACCCGCCTTTCTTCTCTTGTCTGTCTTTTCTCGATCCTTCACCGCCCCCACTCAGGCTCACCAAACCTGGCTGAGCTGGCTTGGCACATAAGGTGCCCAACGTGGGGCTGAGTATGCCATGGCCGTGCCGGCTCGCCACAATTACATACAGTAATTTATTATATTATTATTTAGCCAAATAAGTAGCTAAAATGCAGTAAATTATCTCACTATTCCACCTTAGAACCATTGAAAAAAATCCAACCTAAACTGGCTTAAGCTAGAAAAAAACAGATGTCCTGGAAAGCCTATGAGCAGATTTGGCTTCAGACACAGCTTGAGTCAGGCTCAGCTGCTACCACCAGGTTGCAGATCCGGACTCTGCTCCTCCTGCTATGGTTCATGCTCACAGCGCAGCCCCTTCTCTGCCACTAGCAGCTTCAGACACCCACCACACCACCCAACATTGTCTCTGTGGTGGGTTTTTTCATAAGCCTAGTACTTTCTCGTTGGACTTAACTGGATCATGTGCCCATCCCAGTGACCAGAAGATGGGATTTGTATTTGATGGATGCCTACATTGGGTGCTCCACCCCTGGGGCATCCCAAAGTACAGGGTTGACAATGAGGGAGGACAGTTTTCCCCAAGCAGACATGGAGTACTGTTACCAGGAGCGGAGGGCCGATGCTCTGGGTGCAAAGGCGACAGGTGTCCCTCGCACACACTTTACAATGGGGCACCACTCAAAGCCTCTGGTTGCTAAGCAGCTGCATAGAGATTGGCTGACTTTGCTGTTGTAGCTCCTGCTCTGAGATGGAGCACTAAAGAGACATGGCCCTTCTTTCCACTTATGTCATAATCGTAAAATTGTTATTTATTGTCAAGCTTTGAAGTATTCTTCCGAATGCTCTCATAACACCTCCGAGCTATTCAGGGATCACCAGGATTCCACAGCACTCCTTTAAGAGGCACTTCTGGAGGCAATATGAAGCAGAGGGAAA